AAAAACAAGAGAGATTGAAAATAAACAAATGAAGCATTCAACTCAAGAAGCCAGAAAAAGAATTATGAAACAAAGTCAAAGAAAGCAGCAAGAAGGAATTAATCCAAATAAAAGCTGAAATAAACGAAATAGGAAAAAAAAGGGAACCCCATCAATAAAATGCAAAACGCTCTTCAAAGGAGAGAGAGAGAAAACACAAATAAACACATTAGGAATGAGCTAGAGACATAACCACAGAAGCACAGAAGATAAAACAAATTTAATGAGAATACTGTGTACAACTTTATACCAATAAATTCACAAGTCTTGATAAAATGCATTATTTTCTTAGAAAATATAAATGACCAAGTTTGAGTCATGATGCTGTAGAAAAATCTAAAGAGGCAGATAACATAAAATCAAATGATAAGAGAGCTAAATATCTACCATTGAAAAGACATCAAGACTCGGGGATTTATAGCTAGGTCCTATCAAATTATCAGGGAATGGATAACCTCTATCTTATGTAAACCAACCCAGAGAAAGAAAATAAAAGGACAGTTCTCTAATTTATTCCATAATCCTAGCATATCCCTAATACTCAAACTAGGCAAATATATTCTCATCCATCTAGAAAAATCTGGTAGACGTATTAGAACTGATGAGCTCCTTATGTGGTAGGATGAAAAATCAACTTACAAAAATCCATAATAGCTTTCCTCAATATCAGCAATAGCTAACTAGAAAAATATAAGGGAAAACATAAGTGGAAAATTGATCCTATTCCTGAAATGGAAAAGACTAATAATAGAAGCTATCACTTTCCTGTATGTCTGGGCATCCTATATTCGAGTCATAACTCATTTAATCCTCACAGTGGCTCCATGAGGTGGGAACATCTATAGATAAGCAAAGGAAGTGCAGAGAGGTTAAGCATTTTGTGCAAGGTCACACAGCTAGTAAGAGGTGAAATCTGGATTTGGACTTTGGTGGTCTGGATCCAAAACTCATGCCTGTATCCTCTAGAATGTAGTGTACCCCGTAAATACCTATGAATATACCCCCACAAGATACAAGCAGACTTTTGTGACCAAAAGTCTAAAGTCTCAGGGAAGGTTTTAAAACAACATTTGATAAATGGAGATGCAAACTATATTTCTGAGTTAGAGGACTCCCAGCTGTAAAGATGCTGTATCAGTCAGCCAGGATGAGATCATCTGTGTTGCTGTAACAAAGGAAGCCTCCCAAATCAAAAGCTGGCACACAGATGTTTATTTCTTGATCATGTAAGGTCCACTGTGATCGAGGCAGTCCTCTTCCATCCTGCAGTATGTTTCTGGAACAGGTGGTCCCCAAGCTTGCCATAGCAAGAGAAGAGAGGGCTTAAGAATCACAGGATGTTTGGAATGGCTGGGTGTGGCAGTGACTTATATCAGGTCAATACAGATTCCATCCTTCAGAATCCCATCATGTGGTCCTTCTAACCCAGCTGCAAGGGAAGCTTGGACCCATCATCCACAGTGTGTGTCCAGAAAGAGGACCCAGTGTGATGAGCAGAAGACATCATCTGCCACAGTTCCAGCAGTGCCCAGCACAGCATTGACTCTCAATCCATATTTCTTAAAGGGAAAAAAAAGTTAAACTTCCCCCCAATTTAATCTACAAATTCAATGCCATACCACCCAAAGTTTCACTAGGGTTTTGCATGAAATTCCAACTCTAAAATTCATCTGAAGGGAAAAATGACTAAGAATAGTGAGGGATCTTTGAAAGAAAATTAGCATTCATGATGGGGAGGAGACTTACTTTATATCTGAAATATGGTATAAACCTTTAGTAATTAAGGTAGTACAGAATTACTGCAGGAATATACAGATAACTAAATAAAAACTCCAACCATATGTACATGGTATACATAGGGATTTAGTATATGACAAAATGGCATTTTGAATTAGTTAGTGAAAGGATGGACCCTTCATATAATTGTCCACTCATTTTAAAAATAATTAAGTTAAAATAAACACTCCCAATATGCACAAAAATAAATTCCATACTGATTAAATAATCAACGATAAAAAACTAAAAAAAAATCTAGAATAATATACAGAAATATGTTTTATCATCTTGTGACTTCCTAAACATCCCACGAAATTCAGAAGCAATGAAGGACCAAGATAGAGAGGTTATAAGACATCAAAAGCAAGATTAAATACAAGTACAGACGAGAAGAAAATGTTAGTATATAGGGAAAGTGAAGGACAACTCTTCAGAAAATATGCAAAGCACGTACAAGCCAATAAAGAAAGAGATAACCATAGAAAAATGGTCAAAGAACACGGCTAGACCATCTGCAGAAGGAGAAACACAAATGACCACAATGTGACAAGATGGCGAACGCCACCAGGCATCAGGGAAATGCAGATTCCAACAAAAATAAGGTATTTTTTCACATCCAGATTGGCAATAATGAAAATGAAAGATGTGGGAAATGGGCTCTCTCATTCGTCAATGACAGGACTGTAAACTGGTAAAGGCTCTACAGACAGCCATTTAGTAGATCTATCAAGATTTAAAAATTCATAAAACATTGACCCAGCAATCCCTCTTCTAAGAATCGGTTTTATAGGAACACACATGTGCACAGTGATATATGTACAAAGATCTTCATTATGGCACCATTTGTAATCACAAACAGCTATAAACAACCAAAAGGCCATCAATAAAGATTAGCTAAAAGCATTATGGTGCATTTATACTGTGTGATACCAAATAACCATTAAAAAGATAGAGCTATGTGAATACTGATTTGAAAAGATCTCTAAGAAATAATATTAGGTACAAATGCATATTTCACAACAATGTATAGTGTAATTCTGTTTATAAGTTTATTATGGAAAAAATATATATACATAATAGTTAGCAGTGACGACCACCAGAACAGGAAGTAAGAATATGTGTGGAGTGGGAAATGAGGAATGTCCACATTTTACTCTATAGACTTTGATGATGTTAAAAATGTTTAATGATTTATAACAAAAATGTGTTTATTCACAGGAGCGTGTGTGTGTGTGTGTGGAGAGAGCAAGAGTGAGAAAGAGAGAACAAGCAAGTGCTCTACTCAATAATAAATTCTTTGTCCATATATTCTGGGAAACTGCTGATAGATGGATGGAACTAGCCTTCATCAAGTACTTACCACATACGCTGCACATTCATCTGCTCACTTCATCTGGACTGCAACTTTATTAAGGCAGAGTTACTTCTATTTAGCAGATGCAAAAAGAAAGGGGAATAGACTTGACCAAGGCTGCATGACAGGCCTCCTTCTGAGAAACTTTCCACCGTACTTTGGGCAGAAACATGTAAATATTAGAAAGACAAGCAGTGCATCAGCTCAGGACACCGGGGGTTGGAGGAAGAGTGACAGCTTGCTTCATGCAGGATACGTTCTTAGCCTTTCAGTGGAGTAATCTTGGATCAAGTTTTAAGCTCTGCCTGTCTACTTCCTGCCTATAGGTGGATTCTATATCTCTAGCATCAACTACTGGTTCCTGCAACCTGGGTACATTTTTCTTCCCAAACCATCTCACAATCTTTGTCCTTCTCCCATATGAGTCTCTGAGTCTCTTTGTGGTCAGATTCAACAAATTTTCGCTCCACCCCATGGAGGAAAGGCAAATAAGAGACTGCCTGATTTCTACTGCCTCCAACTGGCACAGCCTAACCAGGGTCATATCATGCAAAAAGGAACAACTGGATTTGGAGGAGACAAGAGTAGAAAAAGATGCCTTTGTTGCCAAATAGACCTGAATTTGAATGCCAGCTTTGCCGTTTATTCACAGGGTGACATGCTTTATTTCTTGGCTCCTCATTTTGCTTCTGTATCAAGCAGGAATGATGAAGATATTACCTTTTATTCGTGGTTAGAAAATAAATATACGAAGTGCCCACTGGATGGTTATATGCTCAATAAATAGAAACACCACCGTTACTACCATTAATATAGTTATTTTGTTAAGTACCTTGCAATTCCTGGTTCACAGCCAATGTATCACGGGACCTCATAGCAGCCTAGTGAATTAAGGTAGAATAGGAGCATCTACCCCATTTTACAGATGAGGAAACTGGAGATCAAAGAAGTGAAATGACTTCACATAGGTCCAAAGGAGCAAAGACGACATTTATACACGTCCCTCCAATTGTGCAGCCTATTCTTTTGTCTGTCTTATTTATCATGTGCACTCTATCCCCAGTGCCTAGCAATGGACCATGAACAGGTAGACCCTCAAAAAATTCAGTTTCTTTGATTGATTTTTCAGGAGCTGAGACCTCTGCTTCCACCCACCATGCCTCTCTGTGAGATTCCTTTCCCACTGCTAACATCCCCAAACTGCAAATATTATTTCCACAACCCCTTGTATACTTGTTTGGTCCATAGAGGAGCCCGTTCCTGCCTCAAAAGCATATCAAGGGCCCTTCTGCTGTCAGGATTAGGTACTTAGAGGCCAACCGAGGCTGCTAACATTGCTAATTGAACAGAAGCAGTGGCTGCTGCTCCGTGTGTTGTCCGTGGTTCTGGAAGCATCACCTCTGAGCTACAAGGGCAATAAAAACCTTGTTTTTGCTACCGTCCTCAACCTGAGTCGACAGATACACTGGGAATAGATTCTGGTTTGAGGAACTAGTTGATAATTCCCTGTGAATTGGTCTGTCATGCTTTTTAAAGTCTGTGTGTTCACAGAAAACACTTTTTAAATTTGCTTTGTGAGTGGATGTGCACTCTGGTTTCCCCCTCGATTCCTCCAAAATGTCACAAATGACTTTCCTTGAATTTACCAATTTGCAGGATTAATGTGCTTCTCTCTAGACACCTGTGCCCTAGATAGATTCCAGCCAGAATAGCTGTCTCCCTTCCTAAACTCTGACCTGTTTTGCAGGCAAAGGAGGCCTTGGTTTTAGGTCACCCCCAGTGGGGGCATCCAGCATGCGGAGCTAACTCTCGGCTCTGTTTTATCATGCAGTTGTGTGGAGGAGTACAAGCTGGCTCCTGATGGAAAATCCTGCCTAATGCTCTCAGATGTCTGCGAGGGCCCCAAGTGCCTCAAACCTGACTCCAAATTCAACGACACCCTCTTTGGAGAGATGCTACATGGTTACAACAACCGGACCCAGCATGTCAACCAAGGCCAAGTCTTCCAGATGACCTTTAGGTATGGGGCAGACCCTTGCACTTCACTGACTGAGTCACTTACCCAAAATCTGGACATGGGGAGGAAGCCATGGGCACCATGGAATAGAGCCTGTTATATTGGCCAGCATTTCTCTAAGTTCACTGATGCCTATCCATGAAGTGTTACAAGTCAGTGAAAGTCGTTCCCTGAGGTTCCTTTTCCACTAACCTAGCCCTTATTTATCCTGCTTTCCCATTTTCTAAACTCTATCCACATATTTTAAATTCAATCTTTTAAATCATCCTGTAAGTACAGTTAATGGAATTTTAAAAATTTTTAATTAATCTTTCAGTCTATTAAAAAATAAGTAGCTATGTAGGCTATTCAGGCAGTTCAAAAATAAAGACATTTAATGAAGTAGAAAATAAAATTCCCACCACCCAGAAATAGCCAGAATTAACATTTTCTTGAACATTCTTAAAACACCTCTCTCTCTCCATCTATCTATCTGCACACACACACACACACACACCCCTCCACATCTCAGTAAATCTGTTTAGAAATTGCTTTTTTGCTCAACACTATGTCAAAGACTTCTTTCTCTGTTTGTAAATACAGAGGTACGTGAGAAATTAAAAGATGAGACTACTTGTATATGAGAGCGGAAAGAACAGGAACTGGGTTGGCCAAATTATATAAAGATTAGACATGCAGTCTAATTGTGAAAGGCTGCCTGGGAGAGTTGAAGGAACGAGGGCTATTCTATCTGGAGAAGAGAGGCCTTGGGTGGGATTTATTCATGCCTCAAAATCTGTATAACCCTAAGATGGTGTAGTGAGAAGAATTCTTCCATGTATAGTAATAATTATCTTTGAGAACACAAAACTATACTTTTAGACAGTTTTGCATGAAAATGTAATAGGATATTATCACAAAACAGGGTTCTCCCGTTTGAGGTCATGTCAACAAAAGTCAGAACTGGTAAGAAACATCATTGTTATAACCATCATCATCCCCATCCCATCGTCTAATTAATAATAGTGGTGATTGTAGTAGGAGTGGTAACAATGGCTACTATTTATTAAGAACTACTCTATGTCAAGTTCTTTACTAAGTATTTTTAATAATAATAATAATAATAGCCACTAACATTAATTCAGCACATGCTGAGGGCATGCTAACCACTTTCCATCCATTAGTTTATGTAATCCCCTCAATGGCCATGTGAAGCAGGGACTATTATGAGAAATGGAAATGTTAAATGACTTTCCCAAATCCCCCTTCCAGGAATTGAGAGAGCCAGGATAGTGCCATTTTATCTTCATTGTTAAAAGTCTTTGAGAGGCCAGCCCAGTGGCATAGTAGTTAAGTTTGCACACTCCGCTTCAGTGGTCCAGGATTTGCCGGTTCAGATCCTGGGCACTGACCTAAACACTGCTCATCAAGCCATGCTGTGGTGGTATCCCACATACAAAATAGAGGAAGATTAGCACAGATGTTAGCTCAGCAACAATCTTCCTCAAGCAAAAAGGGGAAGATTGGCAACAGATGTTACCTTGGGGCCAATCTTCCTCACTAAAAAAATGAAAAGAAAAAAACCCTTCAAGGCAGCATGGCTTCCATTTTACAATTGGAAAAGTCAACACCAGAGAGGTAAAGTGACTTCCCCAAGATCACTGTCTAGTGAGAGGGAGAGTGAGAATTCAGATGTAAGTCTGGCTGGCTCTAAATCCTTGCTCTTGTCTTCTAATCCAACATACCTCATCACTTCCCATTTTATAGAACGAGAATTGAAATGTGAATTTGCTAAAACCATTCACCTATGTAGTTATCACATGCTCTTTGAGCACCTACTATGTCCCAGGTGCCTTGATGGTTAGTAGGGATACAATGGAAAATGAGATAAAAATGGCCCCAGACCCTGTGGTGCTTAGGTATTGTGTGTGTGATCTTATGTATTTACTAAATTTGTGGTAGGTATTATGAATTAAAGATACAGGGCTCCAGGAAAGCAATTAACAGTGGGATCTAATTTAGTCGGAGCAGAGTGGTAGGGGTGCGTCTGTTAGATTGGAAAGCAATAATAAGTCTTCGGAGTTGACTTTTCAGATGAAGTGTTATTTAATACCTGAAAGATGAGTGGGAGTTAGCATTGGAAAACGTTTCAAGCAGAGACAGATGTTCTAAGAAGGAGAAGAACTTGGTTGGCTTCAGGAAATGAAGAAGTCTAGTGTGGCTGAAGTTGAATAAGTAAGGGAAGAATGGGGGGAGGTGAAGCTGGGACAGTAAGCAGTGGCAGATCATAGGGGTCTTGAAGGTCAAGGCTTTTATCTTTTACTGCTTGCCTTCCCAATGCCAACAGACTGGTCTGTAGGAGAGAACATGGTGCCTTAAAGGCTGGCCTGGGAGTCTCCAGACTCAGACATAATTTTAACTCCATCAGGAATCCTCATTCTGCCTCAAACCCTCTATTCGTTCTTCCCAACCCTTAAATCTTGGGTTGTCTCTAAGTAGCCAGGATCTGTGTCTGCCCTGATTTGCTCGTGGAGGGGAGTGTAGTGAACAGACCACACTTTCTCATTTGACAACAGCCTCAAGATTTGGGAAACTCCCCAGACTGCCGTTATATCAGAGTAGCCCGTTTCACTTAAACTCTCTCATCCTTGGCTTCAGTTAAACTTTCTTTGAAATTATTTCCATCCCCAGACCATGTCACCTCTTGAAGCCACATGTTAAGGCAGTTGACTTCCCACTGAGGGAAGGAGAGCATCTTCTGATGAGTCTAAATTTATCTCTTTCAAGTCTCCCTGCCTGGGCCTCAGACAGGAGAGAGGCTGTGGCTCCTCTGTCCTCTAAGTTCCAGAAGGCAGGCCTGCAAATTTTTCAGCATCAAAAGCAGTTGTCATTTCTTGCCTCCTCCTCCTTCCTTCCCTCCCTCCTCCAAGTAATTTCCAGTCCAGCCTTCCAGAGTAGCCAGCAGGCACCCCACCAGCTATCCTGCCACATGCCTCATTTCCTGACAACTGCCTGGCCTGGGATTTCAAACGCTCTACCAGCTACACTCTCCTGTGTGACAGCTGCGACTCTGCTTTGTTCTCTTTGCTGCCCCTGCCCAGATCCCCACACCTAGCACCTGCTGATAGAAGACAGGTCTGAATTCTCAAGTTCTCTCTTGAATCTCTAAAAGATAAACCTGGATTTCTGCTTTACAAAGCACTTCCCATTTCAAGTCTCTGAACCGGACAAGCTCTTAATGATTAAGTAGTGCAGACGTCACCCTTGCTGTAAAGGTGGAGAAACCGAGGCCCAGGAAAAGATATAATTTGCCCAGTGCTCACCATGATTTGGGACCCTTCTGAGACTGAAAGTTAGAGTTTGCGACTCGCAAACCAGTGATCTCCTGGCTTCTGGTTCTGTTGCAAGGGACATAGGTAACTTCTGTGTATCCCCTACTAGCATGTAGTGAGAAGAGCTGCCTGTCCCATCCCTGCTCTCAGCAGAGAGGGAAGACCTGGTGCCATAGGAGGATGCCAAATTCATAAGTAAGAAGAGATCTGAGGCATAAAAGTACCCCTGTGTGCATGATTCTGCAGGAGCTTGATCCCATTCCTGGCCGCATCTGCAGGTTGCCACATGTAGGCTGCAGCCTGTCTCTGGGAGATGAGCATGTGGTGATGCTTAGGACTCCTGACAAGTCCAAGAGTTATCTACCATGTGTGAAGATTAAGTATGGCACACACTGAGACTCATGTAGAAAGATAGAGACAGGATGGGAGTGATAGAGGGAAGTGGTCAGAGAGACAAAGAAGAGACGTGGAGAGAGAGACAAAGATGGAGGGGACATTAAGGAGAGTCTAAATGACAGAAGGAGGGAAGGACAGCATGGAAAGAATTAAAGAGATGTAGAGCAGTGACAAGGATTAAAGAGATAAGGAGACAGATGGCGAAAGGTGGGGGAGTTGAGAAGGAGTGAAAGGTGGAGAACTAAAGTGATAGAGAAAGAAGGACACAGAGTTCATCCTAAAGTCACCATAGAATTTACTCCCAGGTGGGAATAAGGGTTGTTTTAAGAGACTGAGTGGTACCCAGAGAGGGCTCTGGATTAGGAATCAGGTTCGGATGGACATGAATGGACATTAAAACCTTTGGTAAAGTCCCAAGTTTTATGGAAACATGGAGTCAAAGATCTCACTTCTAAATTGCCCCAGAACCCAGTAAATGATGTCAAGCTTTCCTGTTTCTTTTTTTTTTTTATGCTTTTTGGTGAGGAAGATTGGCCCTGAGCTAACATCTGTCACCAATCTCCTTTTTGTTTTCTCTTTTTTTTTTTAATCCCCAAAGCCCCAGTACATAGTTGTATATCCTAGTTGCAAGTCATTCTAGTTCTTCTATGTGAGATGCCACCACAGAATGGCTTGATGAGTGGTACATAGGTGTACACCTGGGATCCAAACCAGCGAACCCCGGGCCGTCCAAGTGGAGCGTGCAGACTTAACCACTAGGCCATGGGGCCGGCCCCAAGCTTTGCTATTTCTAATCCTTTTCAGTGAACTGTGTTGGTTTTAATGACCCAAGCAGGGTCACTATCTGAATTCCTTCCCTTAGCTCTCGATCAGTGAGGGAATTGGCAAAGACTGCTGGAGTGAGATAAACTCATCAAAGGTTGCTGGTATTTGATGGTTCCTTTCTTTGTATTTTACTTCCCTCCCTCTCCCATCCTCATCCATCCTGCCTCATTCTTATAAGAAAGAAAGGTCAACCTTGGTTATAGATTGCAGGGATTTAGATAAACATCAGTCAAGAACTATTAGAGAGCCTGGAGTCTCAGAAATTGCAGCGAGGAGAAGTTGCTTGAGAACGGACGCTGAGCAAATTACAATGGTCGATTTTGCAAAAGTCTCATAAAAAATAAGATAGTTCTGCCAGCAGCAGACATTTGCTCAGAGGCCTTCAAGAATGACCTACAAAGAGAGTGAGGAGCTTATGAGAGAGTTGCTAGAAAGGCACTGATTTTCAATCTGGTCTGCTTATCAGATATG